CCGACCGAAGAAAAAAAAATTTTTCGGGGTAGCCATTACAAATTGGATGGCACCCAGGCTTGATTCATATGATCTCAAAGGAAAATTACGTAATTTACAAGTTCTCCTAATTTTAAAGTGACACTTTGTTAAAACTTACTGCAATTTTGCAGGCAGGATTTTTACCTTATAATTATGGCAAAAAAGAGTATCCACTAGAATAGCTTGTGATTTGGTTTGTTCAGGTACAGTAACAGATACACAGGTACACATGACATTCGAGTCTGTATCTGTACCTGAACAATCTTATGGGTGCAGACTACAGGTAGAGTGTACCGTTCTCGTGTTTTACTGTCTCACAAAAGCTGTTGGCAGGGGAAGACAGATTGACAAATGTGCACACGTACCTCGAGTGACGTCATCTTCTGACACAGTCCCAGCAATCTCTGTGTGGCCAGAACATTCATCTGTAAGGAGTACCTGGGAATAATGGGGGATACAATGAATATGCTATTAGAACTGCAATCTACAAGCAGAACCTACGGTGGCAAGACATTTTTTTAATCAAATGGCATTCAAATCAAGCTTGTATACGTTTAAAGTTAAAACTTTTGGTCCAACACAAAAAAAGTTCTCTCATCTAGAGCTTTTGACCAGTCACTCTGGTCTCCCTCAGTAGACTACTGAGGAAGACCAGAGTGACTGGTCAAAAGCTCTAGATGAGAGAACTTTTTTTGTGTTGGACCACAGGCGCTAGACCACCGAGTTTTTGTTGAGATCTAACAATACATGTAACGTTACATTGTTTTGTAAACCATTAAATAAAATCCTTATTATTGTTTCGCGCATGTTAGAACATACACTGTGTCTACTCATTCAGCCCGTTGCCATCACAATACAGTGGTCCGTTGAAATATTCCCAAAAATCATACAGTCACATAACACATAACACCGTGAACACGGCCCGTTGAAAGGTTCCCTAGAATCATACGTACACTGAACACGGTCACAAACTGATGAGGATTCCAAAGAACCATACGAACAGATACCGAAGTCTCCCGAAGATTGCCGAGAGCTGAACAGCGACTTCCGAACGCTTCATCTTGGTTAGGTACTTAGTACTAGTATACACTAGGTGCGAAATGCCATTTCAAAAGACCCTATTTTCTGCGAAATGCCATAAGGAAAATAAAAGTCTTGATACTATCTATAATCAAGGGGTAACTAAGTAGCCATGTAAACTTTTTGGGGGTATGATACCATATTTTAAAGAAGATATGAAGCATTTTGTAAAGTCCAATTTCCGGCGAACTGCGTTACCAGGTCGCTGCTGTACAGGTCAATGACATCATTGCTAGCCAATCAGACGCACGATAGGCCCACATTTCCCGCGCGGTTCTAAAATGTAAACGCACACAACTGGCTACATCACCCGACAAGAGTCTTGACATGCTATGTGTAAATGTACTCTAAACACGTCCACAAACCCCACCGACATGTTTTCAGTTCTACATATGTTTCCCAGGCATGAGATTTGGAAAGTGTAGTTGTGCCCAATATCTCTAAAATGTACTATATCGTTGTTTTCTGAGTCTGGGGAGGCAGGGACTTCACACCGAACGTGATTCTAAGTCACATTTTTGCTGCCACCCCAGTTGGTAACGCAGTTCACGGGTAGGTGTTTCCTACCCTGTCATCTTTTTGAAGTTATCACCGCTAGCGCTAGCCCCGGCTTGGGGTTCTATCGAGTCGAGCAGCGGTTTTGCGAACGCATTCGAGTTTGCGAAACCTGTTCTATTCCCGTCGGCCTTTGCGCTACCCTGAACGCCAATGTAACAGCTGAGTAATGAGTGTGCTTTTTATTGTATGATTCAGCGGACCAAGTACCCAGCAGTATGTATTATATATGTATGGTTCATTGTACAGAGAATTCTAGGGAAATTTTTCAACGGACCGTGTTCACGGTGTTATGCGATGAGTGTATGATTCTCGGGAATCTTTCGACGGACAGTGTTCACGGTGTTATGTGTTGAGTTCATGACTCTTCGGATCCTTTCAACGGACCGTGTTCATAGTGTTTGTGTTCAGTGTATGATTATCGGGAATCTTAAGCTTGTACGGAGTGCACAGTATACGAGTGTTCATAAAACAAAGCAACAGCGATCTCAACAAAAACTCGGTGGCCTATCGCCCATGGTTGGACCAAAAGTTTTAACTTTAAACATGACTATTGTAACTACCAACACAGATGAACTTTCATGATAGTACAAGCTTATATATAATACTCATTAGCAAAGCAGTAACATTAGCAAAGCAAATGCAGAATGTTTACCTTCACATATGATCTGCTCTAATTCTCAAACACGTTTAAACATGTATATATGGTCAGACAGGAGTCTAAATCCCTCCTGCTATAAAATTGCAACATGATGTACATGTAACCCAACACCAGTTACCATGGTGACAGATGTCTGGTTCAGGTCATTGACCTTAACGGTTTGGAGAAGAAGAGGAAATGAGCAAAAACAATAATGGAAGATAGAGCCCTAGTAATAGAAACAGCACGCTGACCACCCCCCTTTGAAAGCCTAACATGGACCAGTCCGGCCGCCCTTACTTGAGGTGTTCCTGGAACTTGACCATGGCCGCCGAGTGGAACACGATGTTGACCTTTGACACCAGCAGCTCCTCGTCTGATTGGCTGAGCCCCAGGTCGGGCTCCAGGAGGTCACTTGTGATTGGTCGAAGTTTGGACTGGAAATCCGGCTGCAGCTGCCTCAGTTGGTCAAATAACTGGGGAAAAATCATTGTGATATGAATTGTGATGATCTGAATACAGAATACAATGTTATCTTGAAAGTTCATAGAATCGTCTGGACATTCAGTCTCACTGGACAAGGTAAGAATCTTGGAAACAGAACCGGACTTCTTTGCACGAGGGATTAAAGAGGCCATATACATCAGGGCATTACAACCATCCCTCAGCAGAGACGGGGGGCACCACAGACTTTCTGCAACCTATGATCCACTTCTCACGGAGTCACGTGTGTTATCTGTGTGACGTCACGGAAGCGGTGGATTGCTCATTCCTTGACAAAGACCGGAGTTGTACAGTCGAAAATTTGGGTGAGTCCAATATGTTGTGTTGGAAATTACAGTTTAAACTTGCTTAATAAGAATACAATGTATTTGCAGTTTAGAAGACAAATCTGCTGGAAAAAATCGCCTAGATTATTGTGTGACAGACAGAACAATAACTAGAAAGGTAATATTTGCAAAGCAAATGCATCATGTTTATCTTCACATGGCCCAGCTTAACAAACTACTGCTTTGTTTATTCTTACTCAAACACATTCATATATACATGGTGACCACTTTCAACATTATGTAACCCAACACCAGTTACCATGGTGACAGACGTCTGGTCCTGGTCATTGACCTTATAAATGTTTGGAGGAGAAGAAGAAGAGGAAGAAACAGGGCAAAAACAAAATGTTTTTGTTTCTCCAAAGGTAAACATAATGAGCTTCCTATTTCAGGATTTTCCTACTAGTACTTGAAAGCATAGAATTTCTGACAATGCGGAAGGCTCTTAAATTATGTTTACCGAAGGAAAACATATTGTTTTTGCTCTGTTTCTTCCTCTTCTTCTTCTCTAAACAGTGATCTATGACCTGACCAATGAGATGGTTTGTTGATGTCTGTCACCATGGTGACTGGTGTTGGGTTACATAATGTTGCAATTTCATGATCTGCTCTGCTCCTGTCACCACATACTAGTAGTACATGTATGTGAATGTGTTTGAGTAAGAATTAACAGAACAGACCATGTCCGAAGGTAAACATTATGCATCTACTTTGCAAATGTTACTTCTCTAGTTTTGTATTTGCATTGCTTAATGCATGAAAGCCATTCTGTATTCTCCTTGAGCACATGAAAGCCTCATGCTGCCATAATTGTCCAAAGTGCATAAATAATTGACAGCACAAGCTTTTGTACTTTATGGTGCAACAAAAGGTCACGGCCAGGCAGTCTGGTTTTCGTCCTTTTTGTACTTTATAACAAATAAATCAAATCAAATCAAACAGAGCAACGTGGATCAATCAATAAATTTTATAATAGTACTTTAATAATCAATCAATAAACACACGTATCTGGTTTCTCTTTACCCTCCACAATGCCATTGAGAGTCTACCCAGCCTTTTGTCTTAATACCATCAACTTCATCAAGTACAACATTCTTGTGTCACTCACTCACTCACTCAATCACTCAATCAATCAATCAATCAATCAATCAATCAATCAATCAATCAATCAATCAATCAATCAATCAATCATTTGTTCACTCAATTATTCAATCCTTCACCCATTCATTCACTTACTCAATCATTCATTCACTCAATCATTCAATCAATCAACCAATCCATCCATCCATCCATCCATCCATCCATCCATCCATCCATCCATCCATCCATCCATCCATCAGTCAATCCCTCCCTCCGTACCTTCCCCTCCACAATGCCGTTGATCCTCTCAGTGGGGGTCTGCCCAGCCTTGGGTCGTACCATTAGGTATAACCCCTCCAGGTCGGGACATGATCTCAGCAGCTTCTCCACCAGGACTTTCCCCATGAAGCCCGTCGCCCCGGTAACCAGGACGGTCTTCCCGCGGTAGTACTCCACCACCGACGACATGGCGCAGCTTTTCTGTCAAGGCAAGTTACAACATTCATCAGCAATTAAACGGTTTAACCGTAGATCTCTTGTCAATACAAGTTAGAACATTCCTCAGCCAACAAACACTAAAAGTAATAGAACAACATGGTGCAGTTTTTCTGTCGTAAACTAGGAAGGACATTCGTCAGCAAATTAAACAAACCAGGGCTCTAGTAAGCTTGAATTGTTTTTCCATCAGCCCAGGTTCATGATCGAAATCATCGGTTCTGGTCAGAGGTCAATGTTTGGAAAAGAAGAGGAAGAAGAAACTGAGCAAAAACAATATGTTTTCCTTTGGTAAACACTAGAGAGGTATGATGCCATCAAATGGCTGAGTGCATGCAAGTACTTTATGCAAGTATTGGATAAGGTCATTGAGAACCATACACTCAAGTACAGTTACAGATCATTAGAGCATGCGACTGGAATATAGATGTGTAGAAAAAACAAATACATAGATTAGACGTAATGAATTATGTAAACTGAATAAAAATTGACTCGTACCGTGTGACTCATATCATCATGACATCATAGACAATACAAATTAAATCTCACAATCATAATATCTGGCAACATTCCACATAAGGCCATGTTGATTTGATTATATGGATGACATCCGCACGTGCATGAATTTTTGTTCGTTTCAAAAAAAAGTTTTCGACCATATATACTGTAAATCATACAAATGAGCGAATATATCATATGTCGTATGTTGCAAGAAAATATTGGAAAATGATACTAATGTCATAGAATGCCGAAATCAATTCAGGAAAAGAGGAAAATGTGAAGGAATGAAAATGAAGAGTCTATTATTAATATTTGCCGCACCATAATCTGCGTGTTTAGTCACAGAATTTGTTACATTTCATGCTATAGATAAATTTAAGTTCATCCTAGAAGGCAATATTATCAACCCTTACAAATAGGTAAATATATCAAAGAATGTTTAGACCTTAGAACAAGTACGTATTAGCCGCCATCTAAATGTTTTGTACGTACGATAATTTCGTTGTACCCATGTATATTTGTCTGTATATCTACATGCAGTCTTAGGCTTTACGAAAGTCGCTGTACTTTTGTTGTTAATTAAGTTCTCATAAATCAATATAATCAACTCAACATGGCCTCACTAATTATCATAATCACAGCACACAGATATATGATTGCATCATCAATTATGCATGAAACATTTGCTCTAAGATTAGGGCACAATTCGTGCCCCCCCCCTGCATATTTCAGCCTGATGTGATTGATTAGCTTTCTGCACACATGTCCAGCATACCAGATTATTCTTACTCTGACTGACTTAGGGGGGAGGGGGGCGGAAGTTTTAGTTCATTTTAATCCTTTGTCTTTCAAATTACATATGATGCAAGAAAATCATTTTGAATTTGTGGGCACTAGAGCAAATAACCAAAAATAGTGATAGCTCTAAAATCGTTACAGTAAATATAGAACTTGACTTTTTGGAACAGCATAATTTAGATGATGATGATGATTAGGGACGTTATGTTTGCATATGCGACTTTTTCAGTTCACTTCCTGAATATTTCAACTCAATCAAAGACACAAATTCGTTCATTTTTTTTCTCGGCACCCTTGTACAAAATACGCTATAAATGAAGTGGAATTTATTTTTGAACATCATCTAATTCTTTTCATCAATCTCAAATTATTTAAAGCAACATTATAAGTTATAAACTCCCTTCGGCATGCACCAATTACTTTAATATATTATACATGTAGTTTGTGGGAGCTTTGTTTGGTTGGTGGGAGGGGCAGTTTACTTTTCAACCGCCAAACAGTACAACTTTTCCCTCCCTTCTCTCTCCATAAATTTGCGTAATTTACCAAAGGAACAAATGTGCCAAATGAGGTAGAATTTCTTAAAATTACATATTGACATCGACATAATGCTTAAATCCGTTGACCTGGCTGGAAATACTGGGTGCATGTGAACCTAACTGTGCACCCAAAATTGGGGCTGTGCACCCAATTTTTTTTCTGTGGGTGCCCCAGTGCACCCAAATGTTTTTTGTAGGTTTACCTATATGTCAAGATGTTAAATGTAAAGTAGTACTAGTTTTCAGCATATTCCTAACATCTAAGTTGTAGTACTTTTATTTAGAGAAGAAACATTCGCTGACATTCTACTTATTCTATCTTATATGGTGCACCCACTGAAATTTTTGTGCACCTAATTTTTTTAGGTTGGGTGCACCAGTGCACCTATTCCCAAAAATGAATTTCAAGCCCTGTAGTTCTTATAATAATAATAATAATAGATGGTTTATTGAAAGTAATTTGCAGCCACCGGGCTGAATTGCATACCTTGTACAATTGCTAAAAAATCTTAAATTACAAACTAACAGTACTCATTGAAACTCAATATAGAAACTCATTAACACAATATAGAAACTCATATTACTCATATTACTCATCTCATTACTCATAAACTCATAAGGCTTACTATTAATTTCGTCATAGTTTGCGTTAACACATTTACACAAATATACGTGGCTAGCATTAACAACATTAACCCATATTGGCAAGATTCACTATGTTCGCAAGTTCACAGTTCTTGTATAGGTATTAGTGTTCATTCAAGAGTCTGGTCATGTACGGGATGGGGCTGTTGTAATATCTACTTGTTCTAGTTTTGATAGGGTTCAGCAGGTGCTTAGATCTAGTGTCTCTGGTACTTATGTCGCCACGCAAAGGTGGGAGCCAAGTTCTGTAAGTCTCAGAGTCAAGCATCCTTCTGGCGAAGTCGTAAGACAGGGTACGACGTCTGGCTTCAAGTGTGGGCAAGTCAAGTTTGCGGCATGCTTCCGCGTACGATGTGTATGAAGGTCCTAAGATTATCCGACATGCCCTTCTCTGTATAGCCTCAATCCTTGCTCGTTGAGCTGATGTTAGGCCCGGGTGCCACGCGGGGCGGCGTATTCGCAAACTGGTCGTATGAGTGTCTTGTAGCAAATGAGAAGATCGTCGCAGGGAAGGTTGAAGCTCCGGAGCTGACTGAGTAGATAGAGTTTTTGACTGCCTTTTCTGACAACATTGTTAACATGGGACTCCCAGTGTAGGTCGGATTGAACGTGAATGCCCAGTAGTTTGACTGTTTGGACTTCCACTAACGGTTCACCGGCTATAGAAAGCTGAGGTCGGTTGTAAAGGGGGCTTTTGTGAACGACACGTGCATCACCATGCACTTTCTTGGATGCAGCTTCATTTCCCGATCGGTAGCCCAGGTGGAGAGATGATCAAGGTCAGTCTGCAAGGTGGAGGTAGCTTCGATCTTCCGACTCTCTGCGAGATTTAAATCATCTACAAACTTCCACCTTGTAGCCGTGGCGTCGTGACAAGCATCATTAATAATAGCAAGAAATATGAGTGGACCAAGAACAGTCCCCTGTGGTAGGCCACAAGTGGTTGAAGACCAATCGGAGTAAACACTGTTGTAAACAACTCGTTGTTCCCTGTCAGTAAGGAAGCTACATAGCCAGTTTGCCAGTGAAGGTCTTAATCCCATGTTGAGCAGGCTTGTAATCGCAAGGTTGTGATCTATACGATCAAAAGCCTTGGAAAAATCCGTTGTGACCAGGCTCGTAATAGTTCCTCTTTGGTCAGCGGTTTTCGTCAGCTGGTTAACGATGTCAATTAGGCAATGTGTCGTAGAGCGACCGGATAGGCAGCCAAACTGGTTGCGGTCAATTCGGTCTTTTATGTCGCTGTAGAGCTTTGTGGCTACAAATCGTTCAACGACTTTCGCCAGAACTGGAGTCAAGGATACCGGACGGAGTTCGTCGACGGAGGGAGGTCGTGTTTTTGCCAACGGCACGATGTTTGCCTTGCGCCACTGTACGGGGACCGTTCCCTCTGCAAGGGATGTATTCAAAATTGATGTTACAGGTGTTGCCAACTCGTACGCAAACTCTTTAATTATTCTGTTGGGTATGTCGTCCGGTCCGATAGCCTTTCTAGGTTTGATTTTTCGAAGACTGTTGTAGACCTCCCAAGGCTGAACTTGCTCTTCGGGTTTGGCCGGAAGAAATGCAGGTAGCTTGTCACGGTCAAGTGGCTCAAGCGAACACGTAACTTCGCACAGGGCTTTGTTGATAGCGTTGGCCGTAGTCTTGTAGTCCTCTGAAGGCACACCTTCAATGTTGATCGTGAGTTGCTTTCTAGAAGTGTTAGTCATATTTCTGATCTCTCTATACCACCTGGAGGGGTTTTCGTTCTTGAGGGCTTTAACCTTGTTTTTGTAGAAGTCCTTTCTTGCTTTCTTTATTTTCCGTTGCACTTTGTTTCGTAGTGCTTTGAATTTATCCATCTCGCCGGATTCGAAGGCTTGTTGTCGCTCCTTTATTAACCCTTTTATCGTGGGACTAATCCAGGGTTTATCGTTACTGTGCATCTTAATGACTTTCACCGGGAAGTACTGGGCTATTTTATCTGACAGAGTTTGGTAGAAGATGTTGGTCTTGGACTGGACGTCTGTCGCTGCGAGGACGTCGGACCAATCGTGTGAGACTACCCATTGGCCAAAGGTTCTAGTTCTTGAGTCTGGCATTGGCCTAACCACCATCGATCTTGTTCTATTTGTTGCAAGCTGAGTTTTTGGCCTGATGCTGACGATGTTGTGATCACTGGAATTCAGTGGTGGTAACAGCGCAGGTGGGTGATACAGGTGTTCAAGGTTTGTTATGATCAGGTCGAGCGTTGCGTCCAATCTGGTTGGAAAATCCACTATTTGTCTAAGTTGATTCCCTCTACACAGATCCTGAAGGTCAGCTCGATTGAAATCCCCAGCCATAAGGATTCCGATGTCGGGCGACACCGATCGTATCTCATCTACAGCAGTGCATAGATGGGCGATTAAGTCTTGTTGTGACCCCGGTGGATTGTAAACCGCACATACTGCAATACCCGTCAGCTCTCGTGGGAGTCGAGGTGGGCGAATTCTAATCCACAGACATTCCAAGTCTTCTGGGATTACAATGTCGATAGTTTTAGCTTGGATCTTGTTGTTGACGTAGATCGCTACACCCCCTCCCCTCCTGCCTTGACGCGGTCAAGGCAGGAGGGGAGGGGGTTGACTAGCTATCTTAGCTTAGTTGACTAGCTATCTTAGCCTCCGTAGCAGGCTTATAGAACTGGGGGTTTGGTGGTCTTCGGCTGTTTTCTGATTAGCCTCCGTAGCAGGCTTATAGAACTGGGGGTTTGGTGGTCTTCGGCTGTTTTCTGATTAGCCTCCGTAGCAGGCTTATAGAACTGGGGGTTTGGTGGTCTTCGGCTGTTTTCTGATTAGCCTAGTTCTAAAAAAACGGGGGTAATTCAACCAGGCCGGCTATGTTGTCTACATGCGATCAGAAAATAGCATATACAAGCTCCCAAAGACCCTGAAGACCCCCCAAAAACCCCAGTTTTTGGCATGCTATGGAGGCGATGACTATCTACCGCCCGACCGGTCGGCATGACATGCCACACCCCTGCGTAACCCGGAAACTACCTAAACAACAGGATCGATAAACAATGGCGGACGCGCAAGCTTGACCTTGGGGAGCGTCAGATGTGTTCGAACCTTCGCTAAGAAGGTGAAGACGACCTCAAGACGGTCGTGTCGTTCCTTAAAGCTTACCTTAAGAGTCTTAAGTCCCGCCTGGCATGATGTTACCTGTCTCGTCTGCACCCAGTCTGTGCGCTACCAAGGTCACCACCGCATACAAACGCAACGAAAACACGATGTCCCGCCTCGCCACGCCGTATCCACGTATATAAACCTGCCATTAACGTTTGTAAAATTATTAAATACAGTAATTGTTCGTATTGGGTAGATATTTTTGTTCTACTGTGCTGAATACTCGTAATGACTGCTCGTTTCGTGGCTGTCTGTGTCGGTTGGATGCGGTGAGCTCGTGATGACGTGATTTGTGTAAGCAGATGTTGTGGGGAATGATCGTTACCTTTTTATATATATAAAGGCCGTTTTTTGTCGCTACCCCCACCTACCCTGTCGGTGGTCGGCGACCTTCTCTGGCTAATGATGGATACTGCCTGGCCAATTTGATAATTTTTTTTTTTTTTTTGCCACCGAGAGGGATCTGCTTGGAGATTACAAAATTACTATTCACCATGGCTGTCTGAAAAGCTGCGTGTCTCAAGATTGTTGTGTTAAAAACGTAAAGTTTACGCAAAAAAAAGGTTTACGTAAACGTTAAAGAAAACGTGCACAGCTGAATTTGCTATCCACCTCGCTTACACTCTGACTGTTTATTGCACATAAGACTACACTAATGCAAAGTGCTGCCTGCTAGGAGTCAGTCAAACCTTATGATAAGTTACAACATTCTTATTCTTCAGTAGACTAACGTTAGTATACAAAACTACCAGGTCATTTTGACACATCTAACTAGTTAATAAAAGAACGTGAGAAAATAAGAATAAATAGAAATATTCTTCAGGAGTTTTATCTGACTTATAAATTGATAGATATCAATACAACATAATATTTGCAAAAAAGATACTAAGTAGTGTTGAGGTTAAAAGCTACACAAGTGTTGATTTTTGATCTAGCCAAAGACATTTTCATCTGTTATTCAGAGGAAAATTACAGTTTTTAAGGATGTTGCTGACAGGTTTAAGATTCTGGCACTTGTTGTCCGAGATTTCCAATAGACAATCAATATTGAATCCCTGGAATTTAACTTTGCGTTTCCTATGTCCAGCCTGCAATGCTAGAAAAAAAACAACTAGCAAATCAACTAAACAATCAACGAGCCTTAAATATTTACATGCTTTACATGGCATTAATCAATCAAACTAATTTAAAAACGGTGTTCCTGCCACTAGCTAGCCTCTACCAGGCTTCGGGAGGCGGCTGAAAAGAGTAGAAATTGGCCCAATGGACAGAGATAGCATGCCAGGGGAGTTGGTCTGCTAGATAGATAGTACCCGAGTGCAGTAAACTGTACTCTCTAGCGGGCCAACTCCCCTGGCATGCTATCTCTCTATTTGGCCAATTTCTACTCTTTCCAGCCGCCTCCCGAAGCCTGGTAGAGGCTAATTCCTGTCCAGTATTCCCTAACTAATAAGCTGTTTGGTTGGTGGGGATCTCTAGCGTGTTGGGAAGAAACTGCAGCTGGAAGCCCTCCTCACAGTCTGTGAAGTTTGAAGAAGCGTTGGTGGACTCAGAGCCGGTCGGCCGGAGAGACAGAGACGACACCATCCTCCCCAGCCGCCTCGCCGCAGCCTGGCCCAGCGTCACGGGCTTCTGTGGGGTTTGATGTTGGATGTTTTATTGAAAATCCATTATATTAGACAAATCATTCTAATCTATTCTTATTGGATTCTTTAAAAACATAAATAAACAATGTTCTTGATGAGGTAATTTGTCTGATATTGACATTTACTACATTTTTATTGCAACAAGATTAAGTCGAAGAGTTTCGCTATTATTGTTTTCTTTAAAGCAACAGTCGTGTGTTTTTTTGGTTTTTGGTTTCAATTTACTCGTGCAGTTTATGGCATACTCAGATATAAATGTTTGTAAAGTTTGAAATATAGCACGTCGGCAGAACGTACTGCACCTGCGCGAAATTCATGATGTATTATACATAGCACTTCGGCAGAACATCTCATATAAGGTCTTATTCACGTCCTATTTAAGGTTAACATCCTGTCTTTAGTTTTCAAATGTTAAGTCGGAAAAGATATCGTCTGTAAACAGGCAAAATTCTGATGCAACATTGACCAAACATCCAACGAAAACCGTGAAAAAAAAACATCAGGGTTCCGCGCAGGCGCAGTACGTTCTGCCGACGTGCTAGAAATGATGTGTGTGCTCACATCCGGTGATGTGTCGGTGACGTCGTGCGAGCATGCGTGGTAGAACTCGGCGATGAGGACGAGGAAGCCGAGCGCCATCCCCCCATACACGACCACGAACACCCCCAACATATCCTCCAGACCGATCACCCCGGAACCCAGCCGGGACTGGTCACTGCCGTCACACTCCTGGCTTTTGATCCTGGATAAATCATGGTCATCATCACCGTTATCATCCCTTATCATCTTATCACTTTATCATCATCATCATCATCATCTACCATCATCTCAGCATCTTATCATCATCATCCCAGCATGCTGAGATAACATGAGATAACATGCCGATCGGGTGTGACAAACAGTACTCTCTAGTGGACCAACACCCTCGGCATTTAATCTCTCTACTTGGCCGATTTCTACTTCTCCAACCGCCTCCTGAAGCCTGGTAGAGGCTACGTGTATCTCACCACTTGTGGTCCAGCTCGCATGTGACACCCTCCTCTTCAGCGCGAAGAATGGCGCGGTTAAACTCCACCGCGTACAAACAAACAAACAAACAAACAAACAAACTCACCACTTGTGGTCCAGCTCTCCGGTGACTCCCTCCTCCTCAGCCCGCAGGATGGCGCGGTTAAACTCCACCACGTACAAACAAACAAACAAACAAACTCACCACTTGTGGTCCAGCTCGCCTGTGACTCCCTCCTCCTCCGCGCGGAGGATGGCGCGGTTAAACTCCACGACGTACGGCGAGTCTTTCGGCAGGAAGAAGCCGAAGCCGGTTTGCCAGAACAGACGTCCGACCGTCCTCAGGTCACACGGCTTCCGGCTAACCTGGCACGGGAGGGGGGTATGCGTCTTACATGTGACTGCTTTAGCTAATCTCCAAGCCAATCCTAGGGTGGCAAAAGACAGTATCAAATTGGCCAGCAGTCATTCAGTCGCCAGAGCGGCGTATTGGACCCTTTCTGCCGACAGGAATGGATACTGCCTGGCCAATTTGATAGCCTTTTCCACACAAACACACACACACACACACATACTCTCACACACACACACACACATACTCTCACACACACACAGATGCACACGCACACACACACACACACATACACACACACACATGCACACGCACATACAAACGCACACACACACGCACACACACATACACACACGCACACACACACACACACACACACACACACACACACACACACACGACGCGCGCGCGCGCGCCGCCACACACACACACACACACACACACACACACACACACACACACACACATAACACACGCACGCACAAATAGTCTTACAGCATAATCCAGCTCTGCGCTGTCGGTGAAGAGAGCGTAGTTCTCATCCCGCGCCTTCGCCAGCCCCTCGGCAACGCTCTGCACGAGAACGGACTCCCGGTTCACCCACATGGCGATACCGAGCGAGTGGTACGGCTCTGTGCTGGTCGTCAGGAACTGTTCGCCCGACGCGTAGGTCTCCACAGCTCCGTACGCGATTTCTGACTGGATACAAAGAAAATAACTAGAAAGGTAACGTTTGCAAAGCAAATGCATAATGTTTACCTTCAGTTGGCATATGGAGTACTCTGTTAATTCTTACTCAAAAACATTCATATATATGGTGACAGCAGTCTAAATCCCTCCTTCTATAAAATTGCAACATGATATATCCTAACACCAGTTACCATGGTGACAGACGGACGTCTGGTTCAGGTCATTGACCTGATTTGTTTGGAGAAGAAGAAGAGGAAACAGGGCAAAAACAAAATGTTTTCCTTCGCCAAACATAAAAATCATCATCATCATCGGTCCTCTTCGTCACGAACTTCTGTCATTGCAGACAGAAGTTCGGGTTCTTGTAAACCAGTTTCAGATTCAATGAGTATAATTTTTCATTATGTATTTTACCCACTCGGAAGAACTTTCATACTGAGTTTCTTGAGAGTTGTAGTTTTTCTTAACTGTTACCCCACCTGTGTGAGTAGGTCCTCCGGTGAGGATATGGAGGGCGCGGCGCTGCTGACGGTGAGGAAAGCCGCCAGGTTTGCCGTGTAGGTGGAGACGGCGACCAGCACGCCAATACCCCAGAAAAACGTCACGGTACGGCCTGGGGGAAAGTGAAATAGTGAAAGTGATCTCCAACTCATCTCGAGCTCCCACTCGATGTTTTGTAATTGATAATCGTACTCTGTACTGTTTTTTTACATTGCAAAGTTCCTTGAAAGGTACCCGATGTGATGCGTGAACTTTTGGCGATTTGACGCGTTTGTACTGACCCCTATTGATAAACAAGATGGATACAAACCAGCCCTTAAAGCACTGGTGATGTACATCACACGCTAGATACTAAGTACTGTAACATTGTAATCTGAGCTCCAAAAAGCAATGGTTATGTATTGCGTGTCGCTATGTATGTGTTACTGTTTTACGTTATCATCTTATTGTGAATTTGTCCTTGTTAATTGAATCCAGGAAGAATAGATTAATAGATGTTCATCTAATCTAATGGATTTCTAATAAGATATCAACATCAAACATCAAACTTACCGGAGAGAGATCTGGGTAAGAAATCCGGACTGAACTGTACCAGTAACACCCAGGACTGCCACGCATGCTCCCAGAACCCGCTGTCTCTCCAAATAAACCTCCGCCCGGGGTTGACGTATGCCTTCGTCTCTGGGTCTCTAAAACGATGATAAAGATTATACAAAATGCGTACTTGCACTAGAAAGGTACCATTTTTAAAGCAAATGCATTATGTATACCTTCACTGTAATTATTTTAGGTGGGTCAATTTTACCCAGGCTAGGATTTCAAAGGGGGGGGCGTAATCTAGGGGAGTCCAGAGGCATGCTTTCCCGGGAAATGTAGGATTTT